TTTTTTTTCTTTTTTCCTATCCCCTATGGCCGTTGTTCCCTCCACGACATATGCAAAACATTCACATCTCATTTTTCAAACACATACTCCCACACCCTCTCCGTCTCGACATCCAAGCAGGCGACTGCCCAACACAAACAACACAAGTTAAGCCTTTAATGAACATGGCAAGTGCCATGTCTTTTCTACCCCACCCACCCCTCTCTCTCTCTCTCTCTCTCTCTCTCTCCTCTCTCTCTCTATCTCACTCTCTCTCTCTATCTCACTCTCTCTCTCACTCTCTCTTCCTTATGACCCCAGCAGCATAAGTTTATCACGCTCTCTTGTAGAGACAGAAGTACATTAGTTCTTTCTGCAAGCCACCCCCGCCCCCCAGCCTCCCCTCCATTCTATTTCCCACACCTTCTGTTACTTTTTATTCCAGCCCCCCCCCCCTTCCCCTTCACCTTGTTTTCCCTTATGGTCACGCACTTCTTTTGTCTTTTTAATATCTTTGTCTTCAGCCTTTGTTTCCCAAGTTTATAAAGAACGGCATACAGCAGATGTCTTTTTATGAACATTTCAATCCACTGGTGCTGGTCGGTGTTCTTTGCCCTGGGGAGTGATAAAAACTTCGCCCTCCGCAGGATTTCGCTTAGCACTCGGTGGGTTTTTACACGTGTATCTTAACGTGCATTTAAGAGTGTATCCGTGATATAATATGTTGTAGAATTACTGATTTTTGGTCAACACAAATAGGTATTCGTACAAGGTGAGTTGAACAGGTTTCAAAAATGGCGTCACGATTGTGAAGAAATCTATCTTGGGAGATAAAGAAAGAAAGACATTTTAAAAAACGAGAAATCCTATTTATCTTTGTGATTGTGATCATGTTTGTTTTTTATTCGTTACAAAACGCGGAAACTTAAACACAAAGTGTTTTTAGCATTATGAAAGGATATGTGGGGCATCATTGAAAACATTAAATTTCAACCGTATATATTTTCAACTTTCGGTTGATGCATCAAAATGCTCAGCAGCCGGTACGGCCACCATTAGATCGGATAACCGTAGTACATTTCCGGTACATGGAAGCCATTAGGTAGTTGGTAACATAATGTAGCGTGATCTTCCTCCATATATCCTGGACGGCTACTTCTAGTTCCTGAGCGTTTCTCCGACTTGTTTATATCCCCTCCAAGCTCCGTTTCATTTTGTCCCAAAAATGGTCAGTTAGGTTTTAATCCGTGCTAAGGGTATGGCGGGGCTGGAATGATGTTATTGGCGTTGGGTGACATCATGTGTAGCTCGGGCAGTGTGCGCACAAGCAATATTTTGCTGGAACCGGAAATTAAAACTTTGTCTGTGCAGAGGCAACGCATGGGGCTTACTAGCTTTTGCTTTGTAGCGGGAAACATTGACACCTGCACTTAGACCTTGGCCTTGATTTTGAAAGATCACAGGTCTTTGTAGTTCCATATGATTCCACCCCAGATCATGTTGCGGTGTCCTCCCCAGCGATTCCTCTCTATGACACAGTTTTCGCGAAAACGTTGGCTTCTCTCTCGGTAAACTCTGAGGTGCCTGTTTCTTGTATCTACTGAGAACAGGCATTCGTCCGAAAAGACCAATCTCTCAGATGCTATTTGACATGGTGCTGAACTGAGCCCCGTTGTGACGCTCCTTGAGATGATGTGCGGTCAAGACTTGGCCATGGTAAGGCCGATGGCTTCTAAAGCCTACCTACCGCAATCGTTGGTTCTCCGTGTGTCAACTGGCGCTCTTCCATGAGTAGTCCCTAGCAAATCTGACTTTCTTGTAGCTGTCTGAAGTCGATTTGCACGATACATCCGGACAGTGTGTTTGTCTACACGTGCAACGTTCACTCTAGGTCGAAGTGACCTCTGTCGGTCCGTCGTTGAATTCATGATCTGAAAATGGGTATCATCTGTATATAGTAAAGAGGTAAGCAGCTAAAGGATTGCCAACCACGATCAGCCTTTCTCAACCCTCCAAAAGGCCAAATGCTTTTTCTATCCATACTATAAATGGTGTAAAATTTCAGACCTCAGACATTGATGGTTATTTGGTTAGCCAAAAATAGTTGGGGGGGGGGG